GCACTCTTCTCTCTCTCCCTCCCTGGACTCTTCTCTCTCTCCCTCCCTGCACTCTTCTCTCTCTCCCTCCCTGCACTCTTCTCTCTCTCCCTCCCTGCACTCCTCTCTCTCTCCCTCCCTGCACTCCTTTCTCTCTCCCTCCCTGCACTCTTTTCTCTCTCCCTCCCTGCACTCCTTTCTCTCCTCCCTGCTCACCGTCTGGCCATCAGCCAAACCACACGCTCACCGCCCCACGCCCCCTGGTCCATGCTGTCCTGCCTCTCTCCCTCCCTGCTGTCCTGCCTCTCTCCCTCCCTGCTGTCCTGCCTCTCTCCCTCCCTGCTGTCCTGCCTCTCTCCCTCCCTGCTGTCCTGCCTCTCTCCCTCCCTGCTGGGACAGGGGGGGGAACAGGAAGGGGAGCATAGGGGAGGTGTAGGGAGGGGGGTCACATGGCAGACGGAGGGGAGAGCATGGCAGATAATGGGCGGGATATCGAATGAGGGGGGAGCATGGCAAAACAGGGTGGAGCTAGGCAGATGGGGGGGGAGGGGGTGGGGAGATGAAGGGGCAGCATGGCAGATCAGGGGGGAAGTTAGGCGGAATAAGGGATGGGAGTGGGGGGGATAAGGGATGAGAGTAGGGGGAGGGAATAAAGATATGGAGTGGGGGGAGATAAGGGAAGGGAGTGGGGGGAATCAGGAAGGTAGTGGGGGGAATATGGGATGGGGGAATGAGGGTAGGGAGTTGTGGGAACAAGGGAATGGTATGGGGGGGATATGAGAGACGGAGCACTCTTCGTGGCTTTGGCACCCATGGGTCCGCCCCATCTCAGCCTCTCTCCTTCCTTCCGCACCTCTCTCCTTCCTTCCGCACCTCTCTCCTTCCTTCCGCACCTCTCTCCTCCCTTCCGCACCTCTCTCCTTCCTTCCACACCTCTCTCCTTCCTTCCGCACCTCTCTCCTTCCTTCCGCACCTCTCTCCTCCCTTCCGCACCTCTCTCCTTCCTTCCGCACCTCTCTCCTTCCTTCCGCACCTCTCTCCTTCCTTCCGCAACTCTCTCCTTCCTTCCGCACCTCTCTCCTTCCTTCCGCACCTCTCTCCTTCCTTCCGCACCTCTCTCCTCCCTTCCGCACCTCTCTCCTTCCTTCCGCACCTCTCTCCTTCCTTCCGCACCTCTCTCCTTCCTTCCGCACCTCTCTCCTTCCTTCCGCACCTCTCTCCTTCCTTCCACATTCCGCTCCTCATCCCAAAAATTAGGGTGGCAAAATGATACCCTCAAGACTGCCGCAAGTCACCTGGGGGTGTCGCGCTGGGGGGTAACCCTGGGGTCTTCGACTGGGGCACCTCAAAGTAACCCACTGTCAGAATGACTTTCGTTGTGACCCCGAGGTCACCCGTTGATGAAACCCTCGGGTCACCATCGGGTTACACTCGTGGCACCATCGGGTCTCCCTCGGGTCTCCCTTGGATCACCCTCAGGTCAACCTCAGGTTAGGTCTCATCCCTGCTGCAGCTCGTCCTTCATACATGCAACTCGATAGTGTTATAATTAGTGTGGCATATGCGGTGTTTATCTCGTGTAAACAAAACGCATATAAGTAGATTCAAGGTGTGCCGTCATTGTTAATTTATGAATAACCGAATTGAGGGGATTTGTTTACCAAATAGTCGTCATATTCGTGAACGAATACACGCCCAGCAATAATTGCTCGTACAATGCATACAGTTCTAACAAGGCATTCGACAAACACGGAATGGCTTAGACACAGTACAACCCGTTGAGCTGACTGACACACCTTTGATCTGGGTACAGCTGACCTGCGCAGTAAGGTTAACAACAGAAAGGGGTTAGCATAGCAAGAATGTGCAACAAAAAGACTATTGAACTACAATAAAGCTTCACTAACAGTTTCATCACGAGTCAAACATAACCCCTGTAAGGGACACCTGCAGGTAAAGAGAGATCACAAGTGAAAAACGCACATAAGTTACATATTTTTCAACGCTTACACCAGGGAACCACCGCCGGACACGGAAGACTTGTACGATCCAACAAAGTTGATCCGGTGCCATCATCTAAAGGCACAGACAGCCAGCAATGGAACCGAGTAAGGGGAAACGACAGTCAGGGAAGAAAATACAGAATCTTGGCATACGCAATGGCATCAACTCGGGGATAACTGTGGGATTCTGTTTTTGAAAGGAGACGATGAACGCAAACGAACTTTAAAAAAAAATGTCAAAACACCTTCGAAGTATTAAGCGTTGGGCAGCCCATGGGGTCAGGCAAGTACCTGTGGGACGCAACAGCATCGGCAGGAGTTCTGCAGCCATACCTACATACGGTATGAACTCCATGAGCTTGGTAGGGACGCACGGAGTGATACATTCACCGCCATCCTCTCACACGTCCCGCCCGGCGTGCAGCGCGATCCCCTCACGCGTCCCGACCGACGTGCACGCTTAGAAGCCCATGCGTCCTGACCGACGTCCACCGTTTGAAGCACATGCACCCCTCGTTGACTGAAGCTTTCAGCCTGAATGCACAAAGCGAAACGTTACGCAGAACAACCAACTGGAAAGCTTGGGTTTAGGAAGAGCATGGGGAAAAAACTCTCAGCAATAGACAATTGGTGAAGTTATTGGTAAGGAGAAAACGAGGTCAAACAAAACTCGCGAAAGGAAGGACTACGAAAAGTCAGTTTGATGCCCTCGTAAATGTGTGACAAGGAGTCGTCACTGGTGGGTTTCGAATTTTTGGGCTGTAAACATTGCGTCGACTGGAATCCTTATTTCGTATGTAGAATGAAACGTATGGCGTGAAATTCAGCAACGGATGAGCCGAGATTTCGTAGCGTAGTGTATTCGAACTGGAAATCGGATTTTTCGAACACGTCCTCGAGAATATTCGTGGTACGCAGGGAGCCAGGAGGTTTGTTCGAAACGTTGCATGGATAGGTTGAGTAATGGACCAATGACTTGAAAGCTAACAATGCGCTCATTGGTCAGCTTGTCCAAGCTGACCCATCACTTTCGTACCCTATTACACATGTTTCGTCAATAGGAAAGACGTACAGTAATTAGCTTGTTATGTGTACTTCCCGAGTTTTCCCCGCAATTCACTTTTGGGGCCCGACAGATTCAACGGCACCGAACCAGTTGCCGAACCTCGTTAGCGCAGGCTCGAATTTCGCCATGGTGCGGGCCCAGCCTGCGATGTTACCTACAAGTCACCTCGAACCGAGCTTGCACACTATTGGTTGGAATGATCGCGCGCGACGCTTGGCGAGACTGTTACAAAATTTCAAGGCGTCGCCAATACCCGCGGGTAACCCTGAGGGGACTTGCGAGGAACTTTGGGTTCTCTGGGGCGGGGTTACCCACGGGTGTCCCACCATTCGAAAGTCAGAATGGGTGTGGTGAATTTTGGGATGCTCCCATCCGCTAGATCTTCTAGGTGGGTACAGGCAGGGGCACGGGAACACGTTTCTCTCTCTCCTACCCGTAAATCTCGAACCCTGTTGGAGATGGTTCGGCGCTGCCCTACCCAACGGCGGACCTACCCTAATCCAGCGGCACGATGGCGGCACTAGGTGCGGAGGAGGAACGGTGATGCAGCGATATGCAGTGGGAGCACGAAAGAAATGTTGTGGAGGAAAGCGGAGAAGAAGGGAGAAGGAAACGAGGAGGAAGGAAGGATTGCGCGGCTGCTGGAAAAGATGCGTGAGGCAACAGCAGCTGCTAGAAGTGTTGTGCGGGGAATTGGAGGTTGGAAGAGGAGTGCATTAGGTGCACGTTCAGTGGAACCGAACTTGGTGTCGGTTTCGGTGCCAAACCAACGCGGAGCGCGTTCAGTTTCGGTGGAGTGCGACTTGGGGTGACTCGAGGCGCACACGTTACAGCGAGACGCACGCGGTGTTACGAAGCACTTAGCTGAAATCCGAAATGCATATATGTGTTGTTTCAGTTTGTGCTTTGTATCTCATTCCGAATTATTGGATTCAGAAAATTGCTGCATCTCGTATTGACGACTTTCAGCTACTCTGAGCATACCGTTGGAATCGTGAGATCAAGGAGATCGATAAGTAGCCTAGCCGGAGGCGCTTGTCGACTAAGAAACCCCTAGTCTCTGGCTTCGGTTTGCGTCTTTCGCGCCATGCAAAATCGACTCACTATGGTACTAGTAACTGGCGACGCTAAGCGCGAATGGATGTAGAGCTGGGAAGATTCTGGCTCGCATATACCGTGCGGAAAGCGACACATATTTGTGCGGAGTCGGGTGCCTTTTTTTTAGCAGCGCTTTTGCCGTTGTTCGCGTCTGTTATTTGGTTTCATTGCCCCTAGCGCGTTTGCCGCTGGGCGCAGTCTGGTGCTTGCCTGGTGGTTTTGTGTGACGCGATTTTGTGACGCGTTTTTGTTTGCGAGGTTCCAGATTGACTAGGGAAGGTTGGCGAAGGTTTTTCTGTTTGCGAAGGGGCAAGCTCGTTTGGCCTTGTTCGCAATTCCAATTTTGAATCTCTGGTTCCTCGTCATTTTCGCAGCCAATCGCAAACCTCTCGCCCTCTCCCGAGCCGCGCACCGCAAATCTGCCTTTCGCGGCTTGCAACTTGGGACCTGGGCTTTAATCATCAGGCCAGACTTACCGCTTCCTGACACCGATGAGGCAAGCCCTACGCGGTCAAGAGGCCGAGCCTGAGGGCTCGGTACGGGACATAGCGCCTTCAGAACCTCCCCGAACATCTCCGAACCTCTCTGTATACCGTGTTTCACCACGCTATAACCTCCTGTAGCGCCCTGAACCCTTCCTAAACCTTGAAGATCCAGAAGGGGTCAATTTGGGCGTCAAAATCGAACACTATGTTCCGCCGTCCCGAACGTAGGGAGTTTTTGGCTTGACTGTCCATACCTGCTTCTTTCTCCCCAATGATCAGAGTTCCATCCCAAACAACCAATCCACACAAGACCAGCCAGCCTCTCACCTCGTTCCCTGTTGGCCATTTCTGTCCCGCTCCATTACATCGCATCCCATTTTCTTTACTCCCCTCCATACAACTCCAACTCCCCTCACCCAGACTCTAGATTTATCTGCCTGCTGCCAAGCTCCTGGTCCCGCACCCCCGCCAAACGCCACTGCGTGCATCGCGGTGCAGCGCCAGAATTGTCTGCTAGATTTGGTTTATTTCGGTTCAACCAACCGTTTGAAATGGTAAATTTGGCGTGCTGCGCTTCGACCGTTATAACATTACAGTACAAGTTGTCGCGTCCTTCCCCTCGCGCTATTCTGGAAGACCCGCGTACTGTATTGTCCCCCGTGTGATTTGGCGAGAGTCTTGTCCCTCACCTCGCCTTCCACATTCCCGCTCATTGTGGTTTACCAAACGGCAATGCCGCGCTTCGTAGGTCGAGTTCTCATCGCGGCTAAGCTTGCGCCATTCCCGAGGCCGCTTGGATTTTTCAGAATTCTAAAAGTACACTGTCTAAGCAATGGCATTGCTAAGCTTGCGCCATCCTGGAGGCCGCTTGGACGCCTCTACGACGCCTCAAGGCAACGCCGTGGCGATTTTTTAGGCACCCCAAAGTTGGGCTAGGAGATGTTGTGGCATCTCTAAGCTTGCACCGCCATTCTTCGACGGCAAGGCGGCGAGGCCGTACGAGGCCATACGAGGCCGTGCGTGTGCTATGGAGTGCGCGAAATGCCAGGAGGCAGAATGCACGCTACGCCGAGTTCCCAGGCGCCTCGAAACATGAGACAATGTTTAGCCGCTTAAAAAAATCGAAACGCGAGGTGGGAGGATGACGATGTACGAAATGCATCACGCTAGTAGCGACGATGGTTCCGCAAATCGCTTCAAGAGTGCGGAGGACAACGTTGCGAAGGTAAATTGGCAAAACAAGCACCGCTCACAACCACTTTTCCCTCCCACCTTTCCCCCTTCCCACCTCCTCCCTTCCCGCCTTTCCCCTCCCCCTGGCCCACACACTCTCCCCTCCGTTGCTTGACAGGAGGCCCTTTCGTCCTTCTCCAACTACCTGACACGTGGCGTGCAGCGACGGGTGGAGATGATGGTGGCGTACAAGGTGGAGGCGAAGCTCGACGCGTACATCCCTGACGGATTCGTAAGCCTCTAAACCGCTTTTGACCTTCTTCCACTCCCGCCATCATCCTGACTGACTGACTGGCGCATGCACAATCCAGGCGAAGCGAAGCTCGTCGATTGCATCTCTGGCGGATTCGAGAGCCTCTGAAACCGTTTGGCACGCCCGGTTCAAGTCCCAGCAACACCCTAATTGTGGCATGCAAGGTCGGCGCGAGGCGCCCACCCCCATCCCCATCCCCATCCCCATCCCCATCCCCATTCCCATTCCCCATCCCCATCCCCCATCCCCATTCCCATTCCCCATCCCATTCCCCATCCCCGCCCCCATCCCCGCCCCCGTCCCCGCCCCCGTCGCTATGCCTTCCCACCCTCCCCAGTTGTACACGGACGCCATCAAGATGCAGATCGCCCTCTACATCGCCAAGGGGCTCGTGGTGCCTCAGGAATTCCCCTTTTGCCCCCATTCCCATCCCCGCCCCCGTCCCCTTCCCATCCCCGCCCCCGTCCCCTTCCCATCCCCGCCCCCATCCCCGCCCCCGTCGCTATGCCCCTTCCCCCTTCCCCAGTCGTACACGGACGCCATCAAGATGCAGATCGCCCTCTACATCGCCAAGGGGCTCGTCGCGCCCTACTTCCCTCCAGAGGACGCCGAGCAGGAGGCTCGGGAGGCGGAGGAGGAGGCTCGGGCGAAGCTGGAGGAGGAGAAGCGGAGGAAGCAGGAGGAGGGAGCGGAGAGCAGCGGGTTCTGGAGCCTCTTCTCGTGGGACGACGGGGAGGAGGAGGAGGTGGTGGTGCAGGAGGAGAAGAAGGAGGCCGAGTCGTACCTCATGAGCTTCTTCCACGGGAAAGCGGTACGTTGAAGGGTGGGGTGGGTTGGGGTGGGTTGGATTGGGTTTGGGACTGGGCTGGGTGACAGTTGGTTTGGGTCGTGTGCAAGCAGGAGGAGGTGACGGAGAGCAGCGGGTTCTGGAGCCTGTTCTCGTGGGACGACGGGGAGGAGGAGGAGGCGGTGGTGCAGGAGGAGACGAAGGAGGCCGAGTCGTACCTCATGAGCTTCTTCCACGGGAAAGCGGTACGTTGAAGGGTGGGATCGGTTGGGGTGGGTTGGGTTGGGCGGCTGGCAAAGGCTGGACTGGCTGAAGGATTGGGATGGGTTGGATTGTGTGGGAGAAGGCGGAGCGGAGTCTTACCTCATGAGCTTCTTCCACCAAGGGAAAGTGGTACGTGCGGCGTGGGTTGGGTTGGGTCTGAGGCTGGGTGAAGGGTTGGTGTGGGTTGTGCAGAAGGAGGAGGCGAGGCAGACATTTACCTCAGGAGCTTTTCCCATGGAGAAAGTTTGCGTGCGGATCCGTTGGGAGTGTATGTGTGTCTGGTTTCATATGTCGTTGTGGTCTTGCTATCCTATGTGCCAGGGTGACAAGGCAGACGCCGCAAGGAAGAGGCAGGGAAGATCGTGGTGTGAATTGCTGACATGCTACAGTGCCATTCACCCATCGTGCTTGTTGCAATCTTCCTTTTACCATGTGTCCCAGGATGAGAAGTCCGAGGTGGCCAAGGCAGAGGCAGAGAAGATAGTGGCGGCTCGATATGCACAGAAGAAGGCCGAAGCAGAGGATGCAACTAAGGAGGAGGAGGAGGAGCAAGGCATCCTGGCAACCATCAGCAACTACTTCAGCTCTAGCTAGAAAGGTCGCCTTTTGTTTGAGCTGACTTAAGAGTGTCACCAGTGGCAGATGAAATGTATTTTTTTGAAAGTGTGTAACACTCTCTAAAAATGAGTATTGTGAAAGTGTAGCGAGGGTCAACGCAGCAAAGGCAGCGTCGAAGAGCTACTCACCCTCTTTTGCCTACAAAAGAAGGATGTGAGGCCATTCGGCCTCACCCAAGTGCTTCATTTCTAGTTTCTCTAGTTCAATTTCCCCAGTTTCTCGTCCAATCTGGCGAAGACCCAGTCCCTCCCCCGAGGCAAGGCTCCGACGACGCTCCTCACCGACATTTTGCAGCACAACCTCGCAAATATGGCGTCGGCGAACACGACTCCGAATCGTCCGGCGAACAACCCCAACAATTCCGCGGAGCTCGGAACTTCGGCCGGGGCAACCGCCCGTCGCTAGAAACGTCCTGCTGAGGAAAATTTTGGCGAGGGGCCCTTGGCTGTCGAGGTTCTGCTCGGCGCCAATCGCGCTGCTCCCGAAGAAACTCGCGCGGTTGCGAAGCAGCCGCGCGTGCTGCCAACGGAGGACCACGCACCTGCGCACGTCGCGACGGCTGCAGGCCAGGCGGGCCCCACCGAGCACACGCCCGTTGACGAGGTCGTGCCAGCCGCTGCCGCCCCCGCGTTGACGGCGCACCAGCTCCAGGCGCTTCTGGCGCTGTTACTATGAAAGTATCAGAATGAATGACTAGAATGAGAGATACAAGGTGCTTTTGTGCTAAGGGTTTGTACTCACTAAGAGTACGCACCTATCTAGCCTATAAGATATATGAAGCAGCTCTTCCTCCGTGAACAGCCCAGCCACATCCGGGACCTCCAGTTCTGGCTCCATGCTCGCGCCCTCCCTTATGGTGCCCATTTCCGCTTCCTTGACGGTGGGGGTGCGTCTCTTCGATGCCCCAACCACCCGTTAGAAACCCTCCCCCACATCTTCACCGACTGCGGTCCTGCTGCTGCTGTCTCCTCTGCCCTTCACTTCAACATGTTGCCTGCTCTCATCTCGGCCTATCAGTTCCTGCCCCTCTGGTGTTCTTCCCCTTGTTGCTGGAGGCTGGCCGAGTAGCCCCATGGAGCTTACAGGTCAGCGCTGCTGCAAAAGTACTATGGGACATCCGCTGCGCTGAACACCATCAACGTGACTCCACCTCGACAATCAGCGCCCTACACAGAATTCTGCCCCTGTTTTGCTCGGCCTGCAAACTTTTCCTTGTGCAGCGACAGAAGCGGCCTGTTATGTATCAACTAGCAACTGCTTCCCGTGTTCGCTACGCCCGGTCCTACCGCCTCCTTACCATTGACCACTTTGGCTACCCTTCCATACACCCTGCCCTACATCGGACATGGTTGTTGGCCACCTTGACCCCCATTTTTTCATTCCCTTATAAGCGGTATAGGCTGTGTGTGTCACGAGAGCTAGGTAGCTAGGAAGCCATGAAAATGGCGAGAGGGTTTAGCTAGGAGAAAGTTGACGAGAGAAAAGAGAGATCGAGAATAGAAGAGAGGGATACAAGGAGGGGTGTTGTACCCTCTACAGTAGGTTTCAGTAACGCCTACCAAGCCTACAATTATATAACAAATATAATTTAACACACCCCCTAGGCTTGGTAGCGGCAAGCCCACCACACACAGAGCACACTAAGCCACACACCCCCTAGCACCCCCATACTCAGCAGCAGCGACAGCTACTTCAGCACGGTCAACCCCACGCCGCGTGAGGTGGGGCGACGTCGACAACGAGGGCAGCGGCTGCAACGGCGGCGACGGCGGCAGCGTCGACAGCAGCAGCGGCGGCGGCGGCGGCGGCGGCGCCGTGAGGCGGCGTGGCCAGTGGCACCAGCTGCGGCCGCGGCGGCTTCGACGACAGCTGCCGGCGGCGGCGGAGCTCGCAGCACGCGGCGGCGTGGCCGGGCTCCGCGACGGTGGGACGGCCGGCGCGAGTCAGCCGTCGGCTGCGGCAAGGAAGAGGGGACGCAGGGGAAGGGGGGCGGGGCTTCAGCAGCGAAGCCCGGGAGCGTGCCGCCCCGTGTGGCGCGCTGGCTGCATGCGGGCGTGCTGGCCAGCGCTAAGACGGGGCGCTGGCCGTTGCCGTCCGTGCCGTCCGCGCATTGTCACGTAGATTCCGCGGCAGCACGACGGCGCTGTCACGCCGCCACGGCTTGATATCGACGGCGACGCCGCCACGGCTTGACGTCGACACCACGACAGCGCGACGCCACGGCAGCGCGTCGCGACGGCCGTGGCAGCACGACGCGGCTGGCGGCACGACGACGCCAACACAGCAGCACGACGCGGCCGGCGGCACGACGACGCGGCCACAGCAGCACGACGCGGCTGCCATGGTAGCGAGAGAGAGAGAGAGAGAGAGAGAGAGAGAGAGAGAGAGAGAGAGAGAGAGAGAGAGAGAGAGAGAGAGAGAGAGAGAGAGAGAGAGAGAGAGAGAGAAACGAGCACGCGGCGGAAGTGTGAGGAGCAGGCCCAAGAAGGGCAACCTGCTCTGTTACCATGTCACGAGAGCTAGGTGGCTAGGAAGCCATGAAAATGACGAGAGGGTTTAGCTAGGAGAAAGTTGACAAGAGAAAAGAGAGATCGAGAATAGAAGAGAGGGATACAAGGAGGGGTGTTGTACCCTCTACATTAGGTTTCAGTAACGCCTACCAAGCCTAGAATTATATAACAAATATAATTTAACAGTGTGGTCGTAAGATCTCATACTAGCCAGTGGAGCTAGGCAGCTAGCATGCTTTTGTGCATGTTGTTTTTCCCAACCTTGATAGATAGGTCATAGCTGATGCATGTACTATATTTTCTGGTTACGACCCTCAATAAAACTTAACTTCAGCTTAAACGCAAATTCATCAGCTCATTCCCTTTTCAAACACCACCATCATACTGTTTTTTTTTTTTTTTTTTTTTTTGAAAAATCCTTTTTATTAGCGCCGCGCTTATATTTTCTAATTGATTGTATTAGAAATGATAAAAGGACTTAAGGCATTTCCGGATTCTCGCATGAATGTACGAATACGCGAAGACTACAAGAACGACGATTACCCAGTCAACATTGCTACCGATAGTTGACGTGGGTTGATGACACCCCGTAGAGGTTACGAAAGGGCAATGGTCGTAGACCATTGACCGTGCAACCCAAGAGTCAGAATCACAAGAGTCAAGAGTCAGCGCTATAGTAAGGACAAATAACCGTCCCGATATTAGAGTACGGGTGGTTACCCGAGTCGCCTTCTTTAGTCGTAAAAGGGAATGTACCCCTCGAAGTGCAAAACAGTTAGACTCTTCATATTCTCTTGTATTATTATACAGTATAAACCTTGTATCCCTTTGCTATAATCAATCACTTGTTCTCACATACCAGTACAAGGGTCAACTCAAGACTTCCGCTGTGCTATCAAGCACTTTGTTACAAGGACTTAGCATTCTGAGAAGATCCTAGGGCTATATTTTCAGCCCACCATGGTATGAGAGCTAGTCAGAAGCTACGCTCCTGTTACAAACTCCCTATGTGAGTTTCTAACTCGCTTGAAGATTCACTTACAACAACTTCAGTTCATCAATTCAAGATTACAAGGCATGGCGCCATCTAAGGGCGATAGATCCTCTACTGGATCCCCCTCTGCACCCCCAGTCTCTGAACCACAGACTGAGGCAGTTATAGCTGCAGGAGCCTCCACGCAACCAGTTGCCTCCTCCTCGAGCTTGGACCCGAACCTGATGAAGAAATTCTTCTCCTTCATGTCGACCTACGAGCAGCCCTCGGCACCTGCTCAATCAGCACACAGCAACAACAACAGTGGAACCAACAACAACAGTGGCATGAGTCTCGACAGCGCATCATACGCAAGAGGCATACAACCTATACGACACCAATCATACCAGCCTTCTCCAGGCTCATTCACCTTCCTGCAGACTCTCGCGCCAGCAGTGGACTCAACGACAGCTGACAAGCAGTCAGACATCGTCACCATGCAACAGCAGTTCAACAATATTCTGAAAATGCAGACGCCCGCACCTTTCAACGGGAAGGACTTCTTTGCCTGGAGCTTCGAGTTCGATTTGCTGATGGATGGCGCGCAAATCCTCGAGCTCTTCACTGGCTCCTGGCCATTTCTTGTAAATGGGACTAGTCAAGAGAAGAAAGTCTACATTTATCAGTCGCTGATGGCCTTCACCATTCTCTTACGCAACCTACTATAACAGCAACGGAGCAGCAAAGCATCAGGACATATCGCAACTATGACTACCTAGCAGAACTGGCATATTGCCATATGAAGAGCGCCTACCAGGCAACTGACAGCATGACACAGAGCCGACTAATGGCACAACTCACAACAATTCAGATGCAACCAGGAGAAAAAGCAATGCCTTACACCAATCGCTACCGAGGCTTACGCGACAAGCTTCTACAAAGCAGAGGGCACTTATCAGAGGACTCGTTCGTCACGCAATCGACTATGCATGACAGTCACGTCCTTGTCTGTAACCGCGTACTCATAGGGGTCATGTTCGTTGCGTAACCATCCTTCTCCGATTTCTGCTGGACCAAAGGGTCGGGTGGCAAGAATCACATGGGTACCCAAGTGAACGAGACCAGACAATTTGCCTTAAGGATGGATGTGTCATAGTCAATTGCAGGGGGGCATAGCTCCCATTCAGTTGGCAAAGAGGGAGTGGCTCATGTTCAATTGCAAGGGGGGTATGGCTGATATTTATGCCTTCTCCCTTTAGCCCTCGAGCCTTCGTCACCTCTCTCTCTCTCTCTTTCTCTCTCTCTCTCTCTCTCTCTCTCTCTCTCTCTCTCTCTCTCTCTCTCTCTCTCTCTCTCTCTCTCTCTCTCTCTCTTCCCCCCCCCCCCCCTCTCGATCTCTCTTTCTCTCTCTCTCGCTCTTTCATCAAGGCCTAGCAATTTTTTTAATTTTTTTTGCAATCTTAGTTTCAATGCGCCATAACGACATACATGTTGCATACATGGAATAACACAAGGTTCTAGGCCCACGGCCTTCTCTGCCCCTAGGGCTACCCTAGTCTACTGGGCCATATACCTTGTCCTAAGGCTGGCCACCAGCCATGCACCC